ATTCTTTGAATTGCCTTGAGTCTATACAAGTGTCTTGTGTGCTATACAAATAAACTTCCCTTGCCTTTTATGTAGTTGCTGGCTTCCCCAAAACGATAGGTGCAACTCTGTGGCTTCAAACTTAATTTTTCATCTACAATCACTCTGGTCTCACAAACATGGTGACGGCCAATAGGGCACGCAAAATCCTCGTTTATAGAGGGCAATCCGCACCATTTCTGCTTCTATTATCAATTGCGTGTGCAATGATAGTAGATCACCCACAACATGCCCACTCATAGCACGTGCAATTTTTTTGTTTGCACACGCAATTTAGCATTCACTATTTGGGATCTTTGCAGACCAGGCCTTTGTATTTAAAACCTGGCAGTAAGCAGAGCAGCAAGCTCTCTTTTGACTAACACAAAAGAGTTGTAAGTTATACAGTAGTGTTTTGGTACAGTAGTCAGTGAGGCTTGATCCTCAGAGACACTCAACCCAGAGTGTTTTGTTGTCTGGTAATAAGATCATTGCTTAGTCTCCCTTTTGTTCATGCATCAGTAATAAAATGTTATAAAAATGCCTTCACCCATAGCAAGAGGCCTTGAGCTCTTCATGTCTCAATTTTCACTCATTTGCCTTAGCATGTGTTTCTGTGTCATTGAGTCTCTGGAATAGCATCATTTGCAGCATGTTGGCTGTTAATAAAGTTGCTATGGCTTTTTAAATCCCTATTTTTTTCCCATTTGAAACATGTTTATGCATTTGCTTTTCATATGAACTGTTTCAGATGTTAAAGAATTTGCATAATTTCCACGTTTGCAGCATTTGCGGTCATTACTGATGGGCTAGCCTTGTCAGCCACTGTAGAAAATGAGTTGTGATATGAGTTTTAATGCTCAAAAGTGTATACTTGCCACAATCCTCAATGAGAAATTATAATTGTAACCATAGTTACACCATCCAGCCAACTGATGGGTAAGTCAGTATCTGGACAGGAAAAAAAACACACCATAGGCTGCAGTCCGAACTTATGTGAGCCAGCACTCTGACTTGGGTCTGGTTGTATTCAGTGCTTGTGAGTTTTTGTCATTTTTTTCTGGCATGTGGAAGAAAGTGGCAGACTTCCAGTCTAATGTGGCCTGGGTTGATAACTGTGACATGGCCTAGGTTACGCTCTGACCGCATGGCCAGGCTGTGAGATTTGGTGGGATTACCAGGGAGGCAATGTTGCTGGGGGAACATTGGGAGGGGAGCAGGGCAGATCCTGTAAAACATGCAGCTGGAGTTTCATATAGATTAGACATACATGACCACTGTCAGCAGTGCCAAAGCATTTACGGACATTTTGAAAGAGGATTAGAAAGTGAATCCCTTTGCTCAGTTTCTGGCGAAGGATTTCTCGGGGAAATTACTTTTCATTCATTTTCTGCTGCACATTACAATGTTGCTCTGGGAACATGAAACTTGTAAACAGGCTTATGAATGGCTAAGGCTGTACAAGTGTATAGTCCATGGTGTTTAATTCTAGATACAGAGGATTGTGTGTGTTGTGATAATGTGTGATTATATGCCTTTTTATCCCCTCCTTTAAACTAATATCTTCTTTTTTGTACCAGGGTGTAAGCTGAAAGTATATAAATAAAAAACTACATTTATAGATGGGTCATTTTCTGGTCATAAACGAATGAAATCGTCACTCCCGCCATCATATTATTCTTGATTGTTTACTACAAAGAGCTCTACATGAGAATGATCCAAGTTTGTCTAATGAATTTTATAATTAGATGAGAACTTTATCATCATCTACAGTAAAGGAGAAGAAAGTATGCAATCCTAGGAGCCATGGAACACCAACAAGAGAGAGAAAGTATACATATATAGTGAGGTATAACTTTAATTACAATCTTGGATTATGTCATATATCTGGGCCGTCCTGTAGTCTCAATATGACGTGAATGGAGCAACAAATTCAGTGGATTAAAAAAAGTTAACACAATATGTTCAGGCATTCATTTTTCTTAGTGCAGGGTATGAACACAACATACAAGGGTTGCAATTAACAGCAAACCACAATGTGACAGATTATATGCCTAATCTGCCTAGGGTTTAGTTTCTTATAAACGGGAAACAGACTAGGTGGCTAAACTGCACACCAGAGAGTCAGTGAGTGAAGCAGTACAAAACTTTGTTGAATCTATAAAGTTGAGATCAGGAAGTTTATTTCATTGCAATTATTTAGACACAAATTGAGAAACTTCAAGAACTGCTTGAAATAGTTTATGTAGACAAAAAAAAAAATACTGAAAATACAATTAAATACAATTAAATATTCTTATGCAGTTTGAATGAAAAATGATTGACGACTATTAACTGTAATTAGTCATTTTTTTAAGAAATAATCGTTTGACAGCCGAGCTATAACTCCACAGTTAGCAGTTCCAGGTGTGAACATGTACATTTTCTAAATGCATGAGTTTAGGATTTTTACGTGTTCAGAATCTGTTATTAAATGTTTAACTATTTTTATGTCACATACAGTATTTTGTGACAGGCCCTTTCCAACCATTGAGTCACTTTTCTTTTTTTTTCTTTTCCAAGCTCTTCACTATGCAGCATCTGATTGGAGCATCATCTCTCCTTTTCTCTTTTCACAATATTCTTTTTTTTAACAAAATCCAAAATCCCCCAGTTAATTATGAAGTCTCAACAAATTGGCAGTGCAAGTTTGTAATGCCATTGTAACAAGTTTTCCTTGTTCCCTTTGCAAGCCAAAATCACATGGTTGGAATCTAATCAAATCAGCCAGACTCGTGCTTAGAAAACTATGAAATTGCGCATGCATGCGCACACTATGATCAGGGGATCAGAGTTCTGCCTCTGATTGCTGTGGGTGATTGTCAGGTTGTTTTCGTATTTTGCACTTAAAAAATGGCAAAGTTTGACAACAATTTTGTAGTTCAGCTGTTACACATTGTTCCTTCCTCCCACCTCACTTCTCTGGAAAACAGCAACCTTCAGAGCTGAAAATTAAAGGAAGGGCAGAAGAATAAAACACTGCTGTTCCTAGGATGGCCACTTGATGCTAACTCCAAAAAAATAACAACAATTTTAATGAGACTCCAAGTGCAAATGCCTGAATTTAAGACAGAATTTTACATGTTTTCTGAATATTTACCTTCTATGAGCTTTGATGTTCTCATTACTTATTTATCGAGTGGATTTAACTTTGTGATAACTCTGTGGTCGTTGAGATGGCAGGTGAGTGAGTGACTTTATTTGAGCTTTAAAGGGGTGAGAAAAGTACAATAAGGATTTTATGTGATCAAGGATGTAGTTAATTTTTAAAAAATGAGATATGATAGATAATGTTATGCCAGAAGAGTTGCCATGCTTCTTCACGTGTCATCATTGACCTTGTATCTCCTTCTTACAGAATATCTAATAACATCCTCAGCTTAAATTCTCCTCATATATCCACTGACATAACCCTGCAATTTCAAGCTAATCCTGATGCACCAGCTGCATACTCTAAATAGTTACATGGGTTAAAAGGCCCAGATATTTACTGAGCACGTTAGTCGACATCAAGTTAAGCAAACTGTGAACTAGGTGAAAGATCAGAAGAGTTCCAGGAGTTCTTATAAGAGGCAGTTAGAAACATCTTAATAAAATTTACAAGAATCTGACGTTTTTGTTTGCTTGTGTGAAAGAGTACGGGTTAGGCATTCATCCTGATCCTTGCTATCCTGATCACATTCCTGGTCACACAGCTGGGTGATGGTCCTGATAATTAGATTTTGAGAATTTCGCCAAAAATTCACCAAAAATAAGAATGTGAAGGGATGTGAAGTCATTAATTCCCAGAATTATGTTGTAAATTAACACTGACAAAGTTGTAATTTTATGAGGAATTTATAAACTCTGGTTGATCTATGTGAGCAAAGGATGATCAGCAACTGCAAAGGCCTTCACATGCTGTTTATTAGCCCTTTCTCTGTATCACAACTCAGTTTCCAATGCCTTGAAATCTTTAATTTTCTGATGACTATGCTTATTGCAACGTGATTAATGTGTTATGTCATGTAAAGCATGACATCATCCTCATGTGTTCGAGCCAAGATCCTGTGGGACTTCCAGATACAGACCAAAAAAATTGTAATGGCCAACCAACCGGACGTTGTTATCATAGACAAACAGCAGAGGAAAGCTGTTGTGGTAGATGTCGCCATCCCAAGTGATACCAACATCAGGAAGAGAGAACACGAGAAACCAGAGACATACCAAGGGCTCAAAGAGGAGCTGGAGAAAGCCTGGAAGGTGAAGGCAACAGTAGTGTCTGTGGTCATCGGGGCACTCGGGGCAGTAACCCCCACACTGGAGAAGTGGCTCCAACAGATCCCTGGGGAAACATCAGACATCTCACTCCAGAAGAGTGCAGTCCTAGGAACAGCAAAGATACTGAGTAGGACCCTTAAGCTCCCAAGCCTCTGGTAGAAACACCGCCCAGGGTGGATGGTGTGTGTGTGTGTGTGTGTATATATATATATATATATATATATATATATATATATATATATATATGTATAATGTTTAACCTAAACTAATAAGTCACAAAGTCTCATTAACATTGTGCTTACTTGATGATAATGAACATTCCTATTGTATTTGTATTCCTCAAAAACAGCACAGTCAAATTTGGGTACTGAGGGTAATGATAATGCAGAAATAGTCTAAAAGAAATGTCCCTGAGTACGCATGTTTTTTTAATTTTATTTTAAACTGCTCTGTTTGACAGAAACTAGGGCACAAAACTACAATTCAGCCTTATCACAGACAGAAGCGCCACAATTTGTGGTCTTTGATGGAACGTACAACAAAACAAGTAAGGAGGACCAAAACAAATTACTTGAAAAACCAATTACAAAGGCAATTCTTTATTTATTTTTCTATTATTGGATTCTTTTCTTATTAATGTGAATTATACTCTCATGTCATGCATTTGCATTGTTTTTCTTTGCTTCATTACAGATTTCATACACAAAATGAGGAACATTATTAAGATAAATGCAAATGTGAAGCCAGCAGCTGCTAACAATGTGTGTATTTTTCCAAACACTAGCAAAGATAGGTCAGCGGCAAACATTTTAACCCCTTAACAGAAAAGCTTCCATTACACCAAACACATCTATGCAGCACATGCGTAAACAGTGTTAACAGCAACACATAGAAACAACAGGTACAACAAACACGCAACGTCCTGACACCTCCTCCAGAAGAGCACTCATTATACACAGACACACAAACCATCAATGACAGGATTCAAGAGGGATGCAAAAGCAACATGGGTCGTGGGTCCCCACTGTAATCTCACACAGAATGGCAGCAGTGACAGAATGAGTTTTCTCCCCACTGAATAGCGAGACGGCTCTTTGTGTCTTTTTGATTTCCTCCCTTTTCAGATGATGTGTGGGGAAGGAAGGATCCCCTTTGTGTCAAGCCACAAGACTTAAAAGCAAAGTTGAATCTGGATGCATTTGGGTTGTGGGAGACACAGTGAGAGAAAGAGGGAAGAGTACACAATGCACAAACTGCCTAGATCCATGTTTTTCTATGATACCCCGCACAAACAATGTTTTCTTGAGAAAGTAGCAGAGTTTGTTGACAGTTTGTTGAAAATGTTGAGAACTGAGCACAAAAATGACAAGATTATTTTGCCTCTTTTGTAGCACACTTCGTTGCCTGTAAATAAACAGAAAATGCTTTCAGAAGGATCCTAAATGTAAAATTTATTACACAGCTCCATGAAATTGGGGGATTGGCAGCAAGTGAAATCATTTTACCTCAAAGGACAAACTTTTGCCCTCGGTTTGTTTTCTGTCTCTCTCCACTGTTTTAATCTCTCCAGGGTGAGATGATAGATTAAGCGAGTGAGGAAGAAAAGAGGATTGTGTGTCACACCTTTAGTAGCAATCCACTTCACGATAGTAACCTACTGTTAACTTTGACTTTCCTTTATTTGACCAACTTTTTCTTTTGTATGCTAGTTTAAACGTTTAGCATATTACATTTTGTTTTAGTTGTTTATCCTAGTTAACCTCTTATAAGCAAAAGTCTAACAGCAAAACACGATAGAATAAAAGGCAATGACATAAAACTGAAATAACTGAAACGATTTCCGACCTGTCCAACAGACTTAAAAGCCCATCATTAAAGTAGAGGTTTACAGATTAACATGTTGCTCAAGCCAACTGTGGTGTCAGCTTAAAGCTCCTGCGAGGAGATTTTGTGATGTTTATGAAATACACTGTAATTTAAATTGACGTCTTTTTGGAATATAAAAATGCAAACAAGACCACCAGTGAAAAGATGAAAGTTTTCTACATGGTGGTTCTTAATACCTGAAATTGATGTGGAAAGGGGTAGATGTCAGCCGAGAAGCTGAAGAGAATTCACTGTTTTTGCATTTTCCACAAAATATTCACAATAAATCATTTGACTGTCCTATTTAACTAAAAGCTCCTCACAGATGTTTAAATTATAACTTGACTTTTTAAATTAAGGACTTTGTAAAATGCTCTTGTGCTGGACATGAACCACAGACTCAACGTAAGTCGCTTTTTGCTTGGCAGTATGAACCAAAAGATGAAACCTGCTTCTGAACCAAAAGTAACAAGTAGGACTAACAGCTCTGCGCAGCCACAGACTGTATGTTGATTTTAGATCAGTGAAGCACTGCAAACAGTCATTATAGCTGATAGCTAAAGAGCTGCACCATTAGGGTTTCAAGTTTGCACCTGGTATCCACATGTTCATGCTGATGAGCAAAGTGTTGGGACACTGGAATATCTATGTAGGGCTGCACGGTATATTGTTTCAGCATCGTCATCGCAATGTATGTGTGCGTGATAGCCACATCGCAGAGCCTGCAATGTAGGAAGTGAATGAACTCATCTAATTTCAAGGGTAGCTGACTGAGATACACTCCATGAGACCCTGCATATGCTGTGCAGCCATCAACCAATCACATTCGTTCTTTACTTAGTTGTCAAACAGACTACCCTGCATGTTGTCAATCAAAATCAGAGGAGGAAACCACGCCCCTGCACATGGAGTGAGTTGCTGCCGGTGTTGTGCCTAGAAACGCATGCCCGCTGAGAGTTACTTTGGGAACATTACTCATCACTGTTTTGCCTCATAAATAAGAATTGTATGGGTTTTAAATTGTACACTTCCATGGACCACTCTCCTCTAAGTAGTGTGCTTTGTGCGAGGTGCATGCAATTCTCAGCAGGCATGCATTTCTCAGCACAACACTGGTGACAACAACAACGATTGCAAAATGAGCAATGAACAAGAGAAAACCACTGAAAATCAAGACTTGTTGCCAAAAAGAAAAGCAAGGTCAGTTATCTGGAATTATTCCGGTTACAGGAAGGATGATCTCGACCAAACACGTGTTCTGTGTTCATCTGTTGCCACAATAACATCCCTAAAAATATCTCTGAGACAGACAGAAGCCATTCTACTAACATTCACAAAAAGAAATAAGATCAGTGCAGGTTAATTGTCCACAAGATTTCAGCAGTTAAGCATAACATAAAGTGATATTCAGGTCATATGGTAAAAATTTCTGTATTTTTTAATATCTCAATATATATCACAGGGTTGAAAAAAATCGCAATGTTAGTTTTTTTTTTTTTAACATTGTGCAGCCTGAATATCTTTGATTGTATCAAGAGCCAAACAAATTAATGAGTAGTGACATGAAATTCAAATTGAAGGGGGGTAAAAATCACAGCAAATTGTGTAAAGTGGAGAAATCCACCTGATAGTTTCACTCAATGTACTATTGTCATGATTTATGGCTGAACTCAAAAGCAGACTAGCCAGGTCTTGGTTTCAAAAATGTTTTCAAAATTGGATGTTTTATTTATTAATTTCTTTCCTCTTTTTTCAAGCTATAGTAAATGTTAAATAGCTAAAAACAAACAAACAAAAAAAAAAGCAATGATAGAAAACAGACTAAAATTGTTTTGATGAAATACTTTCACTTAGTGCTTTCTTTAGACATTTACACTTAAAAGTGCTTTCATATTATATATCATATTCACCCATTCACACACTGGTGGTAAATGCTGCTATGTATGGAGCCCATCTGTTTCCGACTAATCCCATTCACTGGGCGCAGCCAGCTGGGGCAGGTGGGGTCAAGTGTCCTGCCAAAAGCAATTTGGAATGGGGACATCAGGACCTGGAATCAAACCCACGACCCTCCAATTTAGAGACGGCTGACTGTACCACTGAGCCACACCTGCGTATATCATAACTTTAGCCAACCTTTTAGGCCCTCGGGCCCCTGATGACTGTCCTTTTAAGCCGCTCCTTCATATATACCTGTCCTCTCTTTAATAGATATAGGCACTACTTTAGCTAATCACACACTTCCAGCAAGCAGGTGGCAGCAAAAGCCATGTTGATAATTGATTATTAGTACCAATATAACTACAAAAATTACATGAATTAAGAGGGGCCTTAAGTGAAACTTAAAGTGCACAGTATGCAGTGTTGTGGCAAATCTTTGTCCATCACACTGGAGTGATTTGTTAAATCTTAGTAAAAATGTTAACACACTGCCCTTTTAACACATTGCTATAAGGAATTTCAATTAAATCATTGAAATAATTTATTTGAGAGATTTTTGCTGGAGAATCTAAAGGAAAAAAAAAAAAACTCAGACCTGACATAAGAATTGAATGGTATTCCAGCAACAGAGGGAAAAAAAGACTCTCAAGGTTTTCAGGGAGCTGGTTTACTTAAAAGGCTCGGCTAACGGCATCTAGTGTTGCTAATGCTGTGTTTTCTTTCCCTGTCTCATTTTCTGAGCATCAGGATCAGACCTGCATGGATCCAGAGAGGTTTGATTGATCACCATCAAGCATTTCAACAGGAAACAGAAAAAAATTGGGTATGTTTCTTTGATCACTTTTTGCTATATAAACAAATACCAGCAAATATTGAACCATGCATTCTGTTTCACTTGCATTTTAGTGCACCGTCTAATTTTTGTTTAAACGTCTTGTTGTGAAAAGGTGTATTTTGGGCTTTGTGATGGCTTTACCTGGAGAGAAGTGTTAAAAAGGAGGGGGAGCAGTGGCAGCCGGGAATCATTAGAGAAAAAGAAGTGAAAGGAGCCGCAGAGCAATTATCACTGCTTAATGGGTGCCATTAAAACTTTTTTCTCAGTGTGGGCCAAGATGGTCATCTATCTGACCTTTCAGCCCAAAAAAAAAAAAAATTGCTAAACCAGGAGCCCTTTGATCCCCACATGACTAAGCAGCTTTTATTTGGGTTAATACCAAAATGGAAAGGTGTCATAGTTTTCTGAAGGGAGAGCGAATGAGAAAAAGAACGTTTTTGGATTTTGCATCTTTTCATTTTACATAAATATGATTAGCACCACTTCAGTCTGTATTATCAGCACACATGTTCACCTACTATGTCAATAAACAAGCAAAGTTCCCAAATGAGTATTAATGTATAATTAATGGACTCATCGGAGGTCTCCGTACAAACAAGCAGCTGCTGGAAGAGAGTGGGTGAGTTGTGTTTAGTCTCTTTGCTAAAGAAAGTAGGCAAAGTTAAAAAGATGTTTGGTGGCTAGTGCTATGTCTGGGACCCTATATGTACTGTTGATGAAGTTAGATGTTGTTCTGAGAATTATTTGTGGCTTTTTGGTTGAGCAGGTGGCTCCTGAGATCGTTGTGCATTGCTATCATGTGGTCCTTACTAAAGTTGGTATAACTAGAGAAGCAAGCGGTCAGCAACATTCCTCTCTCGACTGTGCTTGTAAAAAGTAGTGAGTTTATTGTTGTCACCAAGTATTAGTTAACAGTGCTAACAACATCGAGAACTAACTTTCTAACTTGCATCTCATGTCAATTCAGATGTGATGTTGATCGCAGATACAGCATCGGCCATCTGAGGTAAATGAAACCCCTGAGATTCATCTAGACTCTTTGTTAATACAATCTGTTAGTCATTTGCAAAGATTAGAGCGATGGAAAGATTTAGAGGTTATGTTTTGTGACATACCCATCAGGAAAAAAAGAATAAAGTTACATTTCATTAGAGTGTGTTATCTTTCTTTTTTTTTTCAATTTCTTCTTTGTAATATAAAATGAGGAGATATTATTTCTCTTGTCAAGAACAATAAGCAGCAACACGTTCCATTGAGGGCATTCTTAATCTTGCTGTCAAAACAGTTTATTTTTTTTCTGCATGTTTTAATTAAAACTGCTGTAAGTGGGACATGTTTGAATGTAATGATGTTTGAAGTGCTTCAGGGGAAATTGTTTCTCTAAAGCCTCATTTGCTGCAATTATTTTCTCACAGTTTAAGATATCATCAATTACCTGTGTTTTACTGTAGGATTTCATGTTTGCATCTTCTCATATATAACTTATGTTTGTAAATGTGGTCATTTTCTTACCTAGCTACACTTTTTTTTGTTTCTTTCCGTTTTTCTTTTATTTAACCTTTCAAAAACTACATTTTTTAATGGATTTTGCTCATACTGATTTTAGATTGACCGCTGATTGGGTAAAATGCAGCTATTAACTGATTTATAAACCCCCACTGTCTATGTAGATTCTATCTAAAAACTTTCAAATGTAATCATATGTTCATAAAACGAGTCCCTGTTATGCTCAGGTGGATATATTAACCTCAATAACACTGCGTATTCGAGAAGTTGCTAAATTTGCAAGGTTCCATGTAAATGATCTCTCGGGGGAATTTTCCTTGACTGTGCAGGTAGAACAGAGGATGATTATATTTAACAATGGGGGGAAAAAAATCCTCTGTTTAAGCCAGTCTTCACAATCTCCCTGCACTCCCTGTTGCTATTGTTCTTGTGTGCTGCGTTTGTTCTGTACCCGTTACTGCTTGCCATCCACTCTATCGGTGAACCAGGACTTCAGATGCCTGCAAGTTCCCGTTTGTTCCTCCTCAGAGGCGGAGAGGTGAGAGGGAGGAGAGATGCAGAGGTGCACTGAAGGTAATTGATATCCTGCTTAGTGTTTGGCTTTCAGGACATTAAGGAAAGGAAAATGCAAGTCTGTCTACACATTAAGGAATAGGAAACTAAAATAGACCTCTCTGCTGTTCTTACACAAGGCTTGTATGTTTTTTTATTCCCTTTGCAAACACAGAGGGTGACAAGAGGTGCAAGCTTTGTTATATAGTGTAGTTCTCATTTTCACTAAAAGCGTGTTTCACAAAAGCCTGACATATATTCTCATGTCTAAGAAATCATACTTGCACTAAACCCAATTTAAAACATCATATTACTAAAAATGATGTCTTTATTTCCAGCAGTGCCCTAGATTATAAAAATATATATGAGTGGAGAGTGTTTCTTTTTTTCTATTATTGACAAAACCCATATTAGATTTTCACAAAAAAATGTTTGTTCAGATTGTAATATGGTGATTTTCACCGAGCTGTGTCATCACAACATTGCGTTACACAGGTTGCTTTTAGACTCGCTGCATAAATTCCTGTACTGTGACAGTTTAAGGAAAGTTTTTTTTCTTTGGTATTTTGAGTTTAGCTTTGATTATTAGTAGTTTCCCTGTATTCAGTATTACTAAAGAAGAAAATGGGGTTGGCTAAATAGGCTTCTTGTGTTGAACTATTTTTGCTGTTTTCCTGTTTTTATTTTCCAACAATTTGATGATCTGATTTAACCAGAGATTACCTCTTAGAATGTCTCTTTTCAAGAAAAAAAGGATGTTACTACACTGGCTGCAATGCTGGCTATCACGACCTTTTTGTATCATCCTTTTTAACACATTGAACTTGAAGCGAATGAGGACTACGAAGTTAAAAAATGAACATTTATAAAATTGGAGTCTGCCCGCTTTCTCTCCAGTTCTTGTGGTGTGACCTTTATCTGCACACCAGATGACTCAGGACTGCTGAGGTGCTGCCATCTGGGATTCTCTTCAGGGTTCCATGAGTAACACCAAATCTGAGTAAGATTTTGCTTATTTTGCAAGAGCCAGCAGCTTTGCATTAGAATTTCTAACGCTGCCTTTTTATATTTCAAGCTATTTTTGTGTTTTGCTATGTTAAATTCAACTTCTTGGGGATTGTGGGTGAGGCAAAATTCAGTTTTTGGTGTTAGTGATGGGTTTCTTACTCTTTTCTTCTCTGATCCTGCACACCTCTCTCCCGCTCTGAAGCTCCTGAGGAGCAGATGGCTTGGCATCACCCTGACAGCCCAGTGTCAGCCTGTCTCTTCATTTTGTCATCCGATCCAAGACTAGGCGTTAGCCCTGAATAAACACAGAGAATGGCACACTGAAATTAGGCAGGAATGATTTGAGAGCGCAGTTAAACTTGAATATGAAAACCAACAAAGATACATCTCAATCAGGAAACAGGTTAGCGCAGCAGGAGTTCCCCCCGAGGGACAAAGACCATTAAATGTGACAGACAAAACAAACACATTTGCTTTGCACAGTTGGTGTGAAATGCCTTTATTAATTTTACATCAGCTCTAGGTGAGCTCAGGATGTTCAGTTTTTCTCAGTGATAATTTCAGTTTCCTCACTTCAGAATGCTTTAACAAAAGTATCAGGTACAAAGAGCACAGGGACCAGTAGACCAGAGTAGAGCTGACAATTTCTAGTATGAGCTCAGTTGACTCAGGTAGTTTGGAAAGATATGTTTAGTCTCTTATGTAAACAAAATACTCATGGTAAAATTGAAATTTAAAAAGAAAAAATGCCTGCGTTTGGTTCTTCTATTAATATCTTGCTTGTAGTTGACTCTTCAACAGCGAATATCCCGTCAAGAAAATCAAAACTCCTCCAAAGAAATTTAAAACAGCCTCTCATCATTTTCCCTTTAGATCAATTTGGCAACCAAATTACAGCTATGTCCTTCAACCCAGACAAAAACTGCATGAGGCACTGACAGACTCTCATGTTCTACAATGTACTGTAGACAGAAGCCATTATCTCTCCCCTGTGCTTCCCAACAGGGTTGCCAGACTATGGTAGGCTCACGTGAATTAGCCTGATTTTCTGAATTAAGCATTTCCTTCATTCATTCATTCCTTCATCTAATACCTTTGGATGAAGGAGGGAAAAAACAGGCAACCTTTTTTTTTTTTTTTTTGTACACTTCCTCTGCTGAGACAGCCTGGGTCTTAGTGTTGAAATGTTGAAAGGGAAAAATGCAAACATAAATAAATCAGATGGAGTTCAGGATGTGAGGGCAAGGTGAATAATGCTTAATGTCAAGATGTGAGTGGTCTGCCTGCAGGGCTCCTCAGTAAAGAGGCTTCCAGTGCAGGCTCTACTGTCAGGACAGGAAATAACAAACAGATTTTATTATTACTTTTTTTCTTTTAACGTCCCCTGAAGAACTGAACTCAAGTCCTGCATAGTTGTTTTTGCCACACTTGTCTCGTGACTACTTTGCATTATCCAAAAAAGATCAAAACATATGTTCTTGTTGGTTCTTGCTGAAGCTAAAAACACTCAGTAAAACACACTGAATGTCCTTTAACTTATTTAATCTGGACATGGAGACATATAGCCTAGCAACAGACAAGTTTCAGACCCATGCATCCATTGCAAGGCTCCTTTGGTGGTATAGTGCTTTTCATTCGAAAGAAGGGCTTCACATCAACAGAAGATAAATATAAACCCAAAATGTTGGCACATTGTTAAGAATAAACTCAAAGTAAAGAGAAGGTTAAATGATAAAGAAATTAAAAAAGGACTCAGTGAAAGAGGAACAGAGGGAATGAGAAAATAACCCATTTGAAAGGTAGGCTAAGAGGCTCTTGCAGACTATTTCAAATTAAACGAAGGCCATACAATCGGTCAATATTGTGTTCATGCACAAAATGTACACCAACATTTGCAAGAATAGTGCTGGACGGCATGTTGGCCTAAAATCACCCACAACACTCTAAGGCAGGCACAACTTCCTGCCAACACAAAATTAGATAGCTGCCATGGAGCACAACACACCAGGGATATCAGTGCAAGAAGGGGCAGTGCATTAGGGTGGTGGTACACAGGGGTGGAGATGGGGTGTTGTGGTTTCCCATGCAGGCAGTCATGAGGTTGTGCATTAATCCATGTGCAAATGGCGGTTGGCACTGTGTTAGTGATGCAAGTGTTTGTGGTGATGAATGTAACAATATGCTACAGTCACAGTTTACTGTAAGAAAGCAATTTATCAAAAGATTTGATAGTGCAAGCTTGTGTCTGTGTCTGAGAAGATGTGTAGTACAATGCAACTGTGACTGTGTAGGCAGAATGTGGCTACACTGAAGTCTTTGAAAGTTTGGGACTGCAATCATTAAATGTGTTGTATGTTTAATTGTAGAAGCAGCTGAATCAAAATTTGTCAGAAGTCCATGCCGGTGCTGTAAGATGTTACTACATGGTAGGAGGGTGTGGGACCTGGATGGAGAAGTTGGTGGGCGATAAAGTTTGTGGGTGGTGAGGGTGGGGGGTGTAGAAATATGTTTTGGTAATGTTCAATGTAGATGCAAATGTGTGCCGTGAAACTGATCAGCTTACCGAGGCAAGTGGCCATGAGCAGCATTGTCCTGCGATGAAGTGGAGGAGCTGTCTTCTGTTGATGTAGATGGTGTCAGGTCCATGTTGTCTAATGGTACAACCATTATTTCCTCATCAGGGATGACTGTAACCAATGGAAAAGAATAAAACAATGTGAATGAAAATGAAAGCAAGCAAGGACAGCAGCTATATGTGTTTGTGTGAATTGTTCTCATCATCCATTTGTTGGGTAGGCGTGTGCTTTGGGGTTGTGTGGTGTTGTGGTACTGCTGGGCGATAAAATAATAACGATATCGAAAAATAAATTTTCCTTGATATCGATACAAAACATGGTCGATATGCCTTTTCGATAGTCGGCATAAAAAAAAGGAGAAAAGGGCGTTCTACAGGACTTTGCTGGGTTATAGCGCCAAGGTGTATGGTGTGTCCCCGTTAAAAGACAGGATACAGATGTCCAGTTTAGTGGTGGATTTATTTGATTGTAGTTCGGCAGATAAAAATACAAAGCAACAATCAGTACAGCTCACACCATACATAACATGAACATCGAGTAGCATGAAAAAGCATTAGCCATATTCACGGTCAACAATACAGTCACACAATATAGCACCCGACTTAGACAGTAACACATCATAAAACTCACTCCTGGGATTTACAACCAATAAACCTGGAATGTGAAGGTGCATATTGGATAAAAACAGGTACGAGGAAATTTACAAACTATCCTCTGCTGCATGAGGAGAAAACTAAACTTTTGCAGCTGAGGCATCTCACACACAGTATTTACTTGAAAACACCTAAACAACATGGGCTTTCTAACAGGCATTCTACCATGTCTCTAGCGCAACGCCTTATGACAAATCGTCAAAGAGACACACCTCCCAGATGCAGTAGCTTACTGTATTGCAAAAGACATGCTACCAATAAGCACTGTTAAATTTCCTTTTTTAATATTGTGTTAGATAGATATCAACTAATATGAAAAAAATACATTGTGATAAAAAAATTTCCCGTATCGCCCAGCCCTACATTTGACCAATATCTAGACATAATTTTGGGTTGTTTTCACTCTTGGTCCCTTTTAAGAGAACCAAACTCAGTCTTCTTTAAGTGGGCCAAAAAGTGGACTGAAAGCAAAGGAACTGGTTCTTTTGTGCGTTCATATTGTGAGTTCATTTCAAAGAGGACCAGGTTCTCTTTCTGGTCCAGTTCAGGTGTGATGAACTCTGCTCTGTACAAATGTTTGATTTTAACCAGCCGCTTTCATCCTCTAAAACCTCTTCAAAGACATTTTTCATGACGGTAGGTAGTATATAGTTGTGCATTTATGCTCTCTTGTTCCAAATTTCCAAAAACCATTCACTTTCGTCCTCTCCCCAAGCTACACTGTGGCGGAGCGCAGTTACACGCCGCGTCATTCTCCGACTGGCGCGGGTCTCTGTCTCGCGGCCTGAGAGTGACGGTGCCGGGAACGCGCACGTAGCGCACTTGTTCCACAGGAAGCCAAGCTCCGTCAAACTGTTTAACTGTTTCCCTGCCGGCCCCGCGGTCCTGCACTTTAACCAACCGTTACACTTTTTACCTGGACTCTTTTCTCCCCGTTGTCGGCGTTTGAGAGTGCACAATCGACAACTACACACAGAGAGACACACACTCACTTACATGCTGCCATCTTCTACGCCAAACCGAAGCACTACCTGGTCCCTCAGTAAATAGCGCATGGTTGCGCGATTTTGGGGGTCATGTGACCGCCGGACCATACCAGTATAGTTCACCTATGGTGTTTTGGTCTGATTTAATGTGTTTTCAATGATTAAGATCGAGGCTGTATGGAAGGCCATTAGTGCGTTTTTTGTCCATGTTGAAATGTCTGATTTATTGATGATTTTGTGTTGAATTTTGCTTATTGTGTCTTAAACCCCTATAATTGGTTTATGGATTTGCCCAGGGGAGGGGCTAAGGGGTATTTAAAGAGCGTTTTGCTCACTCTGAGGGGAGCTCTTGGCCCCATGGCATCATGGGTTACAAGTAAAGAAGTTTAAGTCCTTCTGGAAACTTGTAAGTACATTATTTATTTGCCTATTTTTTTGTTTTGTTTTGTTTCCTGCACTGTAAATATTTTTGCCGCCGTTTGCTGTTTTTGAGGAGTCGATGTATATAAAAAACAACCACACTGGAGTTTAGACTGCGCCATCATTTTTTGATGAAGTCTATGATTGGAAATCAGCCTCACCTGAGCCTCAGAGTTTAAAGGCCCACAGCTGCCTGCAGTTGGGAGAGGCATTTAGTGGGGATCTACTGCCCTGCTGTCTCTCATTTGTGGTTTTGGATCTTTGTGTTGTAGTTGTCTTGTTAATTTGTTCTTTAGTTGCGTCTTGGTTAATTATTTAATTTTTTGTTTTTAGTTATCGTAAGTCACATGTTAAACTTAGGTGTTGTTGTTACTTTAATAGGTCAAAGTGCCGGTGTTACGCCCCATAGGGCCGCCTTCAGGTGGGGAGTAACACCAGCACTCATGCCCTGTTTGGTAATGTGTATTATCTCTGTAGGCGATTTTTATCAATGACCTCCAGTTTAAGGTAAACCGCTGTCTGCTGAGTGTTTGGGTATGGACCTCAGGGCTTCATTAAAATTGTTGAATTAAGAGCCATTGTCAGAGAGAAAGTTGGTGCATTCACTGGCCTGTTAAACAGAAGACGTAATCGCCAGCACATTTGACCTTAGGACAAGGTGCTTGAGTCATGTTATAAAAGAATATTGACGTCAGTGACGGGTTGGTTAATGGTGTTTGTGGCACAGTTACTGAAGTTACATATCCAGAGCCGGAAACAATTCCACACATTTGTCACATTTGATGATGAAGGCGTTGTCAAACAGAAGAGGCAAAGGTTGGGAATGGTTGCAACTCACTGAGTTGGGTCTACAACCATTGACAACACGGTGGCTTGTTTGAACAGAGTGTTGTGTGTAGATCATGGTTGTACTGCCTACGCGTGTGCTTTTTACCAATTCATGTGTGTTTCTATTGTACTTGGCTATACTTTCACTGTGCTGATGCTAGTGTCATGATGTGCATGCATTCATAAAGCTTCCTGAACCTGTACTTCTTCAGGGACAGTATTTTTTTCAAAGTTTAAAAGGGTGACATGGCCACGACCTTTCACCTACACATGTCATTTCTTGATATAATCTTCTCCAAGGTCTCACCTACAGACTGGAGGTGAAATACTATCAAAACTATAGATTGTTTTCTCTGAATGCAGCCAATTGAAAGTGCTTATAAAAAGCCCTACTTGTGTTCTAGGGGGCACTGTTGCCAAACTAAGCCTCCTAATACAAAGTTGTGTAATACAAACTTTTATAGGAGAGTATTGCGGGTACATGTTGCTGCAATTTCAGCTTTCCAGCATTAAATCCCAGAGTGAAGTGAATTTTTGAAAAGACCTCAAAATCCATAGATCTCACTGTGTTTCTTTAAGTATTACAGTTGTACAATTAGAAGTTGTCTACACTACAAGTCATATTCAGTCCCCTCTACATCACATTCATACATTGATGGCAGATTATTCTATGAAAAAATGTCCCCTTACTATTAAAAATTCCCATTAACATGCTCCCACGTACTCGTAGTTATGTGTTGCTGAAGGACACTTTGGCAAGTAATGGAGTCCAAGAGTAGGAGTCAAACTCATGGAGACTTGGATCCTGCAGATCGCTCTGCATCCAGTGCAGAAGTGGGCAGTTTTGGTTAGGTATGGGAACTTTTTTTCTCCTTTTTTTTTTTTTTTTTTTTTGTTATCTATGCCATTATCTGCTTATTGATCCGATTCATTATTGTTTCCCTTATCGTTCTCTGTGTGGGAAAAAAAAGAGTGTGCCTTTATTGGTTTACACAATTTTTTTCATTACAAGTTTGGACCCACACTGAAAAAAAAACAAACTGCTCTGCAGATTTACATCAAATCTGTCTTTTGTACAACATCAGCAATTCTTGTCCAGAACAACAAGCATATCTGCTTCTGCTGGGAGGATCATGAATTGCTCCAGGCTAATCATGTCCCCAGCTGTGGAGAACAGAACTGCAGAACTCAGTCCGACACTTCTATCACCTATTCTATCACCTAAATGGACCAAATAAGTAAAATTTTGCACAGTATTTTTTTCACATTCAGGTCTTAAGTCAAAGAAACATTCTGTTGTTGAGCCAGGCCTGTATGCTCTGTACAAATGTAAACAGAGAAGCACTCTGACAGCATAGAGCGTCATATACCTGGCACTCTTGATATTCAGTTTTGTGTTGCATTGACAAATTAACCATTGAGCATGTTGCTGGTATTTCCACCCTTAGTTAAAATCACACCACCGTTGCATTTAGAACTATTAGCACTGATTTGTGCAAAACTAAACCAAACTTTGTCTACTCTTTTCCACCTTGACTACCTCCTCTTGTTCCTGCTAAACGTTTTTTAAAAGGCATGACATCATTGTTTTGTAAGGCATGTGAAACCATGTGGATAAGTGTTAAACTAGAAGGCAAACGATGTTGGGGCAGGAAGTAAAAAATACTGCAGCCAGGCCACCTTAAATGTCAAGTCCATAACTAACCACTGTGTTCATTTTATTGCGTCTGTTGCATGATACAAACCTTGGTTACAGGTTTTTTGTTTAAAGTTATTTTGAATACAATACTTGTCTGTTATTATGAATGCACATATGTGATCAGAATTTGTGCAGGTGTGGCTGGAGTGGATCATACACAGTTGATGTGCGCTATAATGGTCGTGCTAATCTAGCAGGAGCAGGCAGAAGTGGGATTCGATAGCCGGTCCCATGCAGGGCTCAAGATCGAACCACCAACCTTCCATTCTGTAAAAATCAAGAAACTAAAGACCACTACATAGCAAAAACCTTACCTATACTGTATATTGCTGCCCTACTATGTGACTCAAAAGCAATCTGAAATCAGCATAGAAATGGTATTACCCACCATTATAAGAACCACCATTTCATCAAAAGCACACGTGTTTTACAAAGTTGTGTTTGCCAAAGCTAGAGAACTTTTGATCATTCTGTTTTTGTTGTTGTGTTGAGCTTTGAATTATTGAGGAAGCACTTAATAATTCACTTTGAATTTCATATGTACGAACCCTAAGAGTGTGTTTTTCATCAGAGGAGTAAGGACTATATGACCAATGCATGAATTACCCGGAAATTGGAATCTAATATCAAGAATAGAAAAGAGAAATTGAAAGCAGGACGTTAGCTCAGTGCTGTGCTTTGTCTTTTTTTTTTTTTTAAACATGTTTTTCTTAATTAGTCTATGCATGGGAGCAAGTAAACACTGAGCTGTGCTTTTTATTACTGTGAACATCTCCAGCGAGTGATTGTCTGACAACATGCCAAACAAGACTTTTGTAGATAAGAGCAGAAAAAAATTCAAAGCATAAATTCTGACTGTTTGAGGAGTGCTGAATATGCGGATGTGGATTGTTACTTAATGCTCTTAAGTTGGCTCTAAATTAGAGAAGATGGACAAATCAATCACAGTCTCAACAACATGCACATGCACAAAAGTTGTTAATAGAATAAAATGTATGACGATAAGAAAGTACTGTAAATGTTTGAGTTAAAAGCCCAATACTGACTTCGTATTCCAAAGTTGCAATTGACCCAACTGCCCACAAATACTCATTTTTCGAAGAAGCATCTCAAAAACAATATTTTTACATTTGATTGTATATATATTTTTTAATATTTTTATCCCCTACTTCCGGTGCCATAAGCCAACTGTTTACATGGCAACTGTTTACTTTGTTTTAAAGTTTGGACTTGACCTGCTCTTTTGGAAATCATCGTGGGATAAAGACTGTTGTGATTTTGTGCTGTATAAGTAAAGATTTATTGATTAAAGATAATTAAAAATGTTATAAAAAGAAGTGTGCCAGCATTACACTGTATAGCTGAGCACAAGGCATTTCTTTGTGAATAAGATACAAACTACAGAGGTCTCATCCCTGATGAATATCCGGTTTTCTTACTAATTATCATGCTGTTTGAAAAAATTTGATTCTGATTGGCCAAAACCCCAAGACAATGGTAATTAATTGCTAGAGACAACCAAATCACACACTTAACATCAAATAAATCCAGGGAGAGGAGTTCCTGTCATGAACAGGCTAACAAAAGAGAAGTCAATGGCAGAACACACAAATAACCAGTCCTCTATGGCAAAAATCTGGTTTATTTCCAGTCTAGGGTTTAATGCATAGTGAGATAAATAACAGAGGCAGAGGTATCTAAAACATGAGGCGAAAAAGGCAGAGTCCAAAAAATAGCAAGGTCGAGATCATGAACATGAGTAACTCGATGAATGCCAGAATGTACCATAAAGACAGCAAACTGGTGCCAAGACAGGGAAAGAAAAGAGGTGATGGGATACAGATTCAGAGGAGAGGACCAGGGAGCAGCTGTGATGACAGGAGGGAAGGGCGGACAGGGGTGGGGGTTTCAAAATAAAGCAAACAGGAAACATAAGACATGAAATGGAATAAAGGAAAAAAAATAATAAAATTGACCGATGATCATGACAGTTCCTGTTTTCTTTTCTCTCAGAACAAGTTTGCCAAACAACAGAGGTAAAAATTTTAAATATAAAAAAACAAATTGTTTTGGATCAAAATGCTGCATCAAAAATCAAACTAGAGGCATGTTCATAACATAGACTGTCCACTGCATGACTGGGCTGTCACAATATCAGGCTTTAAGGTCACGATTATTGTTGCCATAACATTTGACAATAAAACTGTTATTGTGATACTTGTGGAAAACATAAATTTTAAAACAAACCAGTTACTTGCATGTCATCAATCATGACATGGCTATTAGAGACATGACAAATGAGACGACAGACAATTGAATTTCCTTTCAGGATCAATATAGTTATTATTTTAACTATATTCAAATGTATGATTTATCCACATCACAGGCTGCGTTACTGGTATTCTGAAGAGAAAACAATATCCCATAAAACCACTATTTGGCATTACTGTGTTTTGATATTTCCTGTTGTGTGTTTTTCTGTCTTTATTTCCCACATTGTACAACTATGCTTTTAGTTTGAAGTTGAATCTACTCCCAGAAGCCTGTAAGTTATGAAACTGTGTGAAAACAGATTAAAATGATTAGATAGTATAATAATTTAATTGGTAACCTGAAGAGGCACAGTCACTAATATCAATTTGGATTAACAAAAATCAGGGACTTATAGTTTTTTTAATTATCTCATAGAGGGCTGCTTTAAGCCAGTCCACTGGCGGTCTGCTGCCTCTTCTTTGTCTCTCCTGTTTTATGATATGTGCCAATCAGCTGAGAGGACATTAACCATGAACTCATTGTGTTACTATTACATATTTTTTGTATGATATTATTATTATTTGATATTTCTATTAAGATGGTTAGTATTAATACCATTATATTAGCATAGCCCTGATTAGCAGTTAGCCTGCTACAAACGAGACCAATCAGAATCAGAAGTGGAAAACACTGTCTGAAATGTTCATTTGCCTGAACAGATCCAAAAGTTGCTTTTACAATTAAAGTTGCTGTTTGTACAATACACAAATCCCAAATTTTAAAATAACTCTCAATTTCTTTGTGCACACAAAACCTTTAATTAATGTTTGATGGCTGACTATTTACTGGGGTTATTACACACAGGGAAGTGAGTGAAAGAAATGCGAACAAAACTGAAGAAAAGTCACAACACAGCAGGGGCGTTGGCGGTGTTACAGGACTGACTGAGGGAAAAGAAAATCCCAACAGGTTGAAAAAGTTGCAGTTACAGTCAAATGTAGCTTGAAACAGTAAGATGAGATAATGTTCAGCCTACATGGTTGAAAATGCCAAACCTTGATTGGGCACAAAGAAAGCCTTTACCATGTAGCCGCAAAAAAAAAAAAAAAAAAAAGAAATCCTCAGGCTGTGTTTGTTTATTCTGACTTTACAAATTAATTATTTTTGAATGATTAAAGGGATCCATTTCACATATTCACTGCCCCCCAACTTACTGATCCCTTTGCTTTGTGCTTGGTACCATGAACTTTCAGCCTCTGATGCCCTGAACTGTGTATATGTGGGTGTATTTTTGTGTGAGTTGTTTTCTGTGGAAAAAAAAAAAAAGATACAAAGAAGTCTGGGAAACAGAGATTAAAGACAGAAAACAAGAAAAAAGGAGACAGAGAAGGATGGAGGCAGTGATAAAACAATCATATTAGGGAATTGGGGTGTATCAGAGCTGTTACGTGAAATGAGGTGCCCCACTACAGGTTGGTTCCAGGCAATGAAATGATAGATGAAAAGGAGAAACAACAGTAGTCAATTACAGCAGTGCATGATTAACCTAAACTAATTAAGACCTCTGGGTAATGGAGGGAAAGGAAACAGTAGCCGTCCCTTCCCTTTTACAGTGTGAACTCCCAGAGCAGAATCTGTGCTGAGACCGCCTTTGTTCTCAGTGTCCCAGTCTGCAACCCAGTTGAACAATTGCCATCTGTACTGTAACTCTTTTTCGTCTCCTCTCTCTCTAATTTACAGTATCTTTGCGCCAGTGTGTTTGTTTGTATTGCTATGCATGCAATTATACGTGTTGTCCTTATTATTACCACTCTCTGCCAGATCATGCGCTAATGATGCGGTTTATATTACAAATAAATGAGTTCTAACTAAAATATTTATTCAGCTTTCTGCAAAATATACAGCTTTGGTTACTACTGACTTTGTGTCTGTTAGAGTTTAGCAGCAGGTCAGATTGAAGCATTGTTGATAAACACAGATAAATGACATGTCTATATTTCATTCTGCCAATTCAAAGCAATGCCAGTGTACCTACAGCGGCAGGTACTGATGTACTGGTGACGTCAGAGTCTGTGTAGTGTAGTGTAGTGTAGTGAAGTGTGGTGTAGTGGCTGCTGGGGCCACAGTATTCATTTCTCAGCCTTTTGTCTCACCAGAACAGAGATCTTTTAGGTTGTACTATCTACAGTATTTCAGATTATTAGTTTGTAGATTGTTCGTCCCACTCCGATCGTTTTATTTTTTAAAGTGTTCTCAGTGGTCTTTAAATTGTGATTATTAAGTTTTCGGCCAGTATCACATTACCTGTGTCATTTTCAAGGGCTTTTCTTCTGCAGAGCTTCAGTAGCTCATTAGCAATTTGCCTCTGGGTTGTGGGCGGAGACAGTGCTGCTCTGCACACTCCTCTTCATGCTAGCTTGTAGCCTAACATTGCCGGTGCAGTAGAAGTGGCAGGTAACATAGGAGCTATTCAGCTCTTGGACACTAATGTCTTTGGGGATATGATGAAAGTTAATATCATAATTAGCTTTCTTATGAGCATCGCAGTCCGCTAACGCACACGCTTGTTCCACCATCGTCCTCTTTTTCTCCGAGCCTGGCCTCCATAGCAGGGCTCTGGGGGCGGAGCTAGCAGTTGTGACATAGGAAATCCAACTGTGTCTGAACCTGCCTTTTGGGTCTGCCAGGAGATTCACAGCGGTTTGAACGCAGAAATACTCCGAAATGCAATTTTGCTTTTACTTTTCTCATTATATGTCTTGTAGCATCAGGGACATGCCATATGAACATGCAGACAACAAGAAAAACATGATTTTCATCGGAGTTGGTCTTTAATGTTTGTTTTGTGTCTGGTCACAGTTTCTTCTCAGCATCATTGTTCTACTTTATTAATAGCATCTGACAAGTTAGATCGGGATCTGTCTGCAAATGTTTGGACATTCAGATGAACACAGAGTCTTGGGATTTTTGTGTAGCTAGTAATGATGACTGCTAAGATCAGAAAAGAGAAATAATTAAAATAAACATTTAAAACTTAGATTCTGTTTAATGCTGGGATTCTGATGTTCTTATGCATTGCTTTTACCCCAAGTTAGTGTGCTGCTGACTGAAGCAAACAGGAAGTTGAATAAGAGAATGTTTGTGTACTGAAAATCTTATTTAATGATGAAATCATCAGCTATAAATAAGATGAAAAAAGCTACAGTGCGGGGGATAGATGAGGAGAAAGGTCAGAGAAGGAGAATAAAAGACTGAGCTCAGGTTTTTTTTTTTGCCCGCAGATCCACTGGACCATCCTCTGCCATGGACTACAAAGACCCTTCTTAGACTTCAAGTCTACTGGGAAAACTTCAGCCAGAGAGACTGAGTATTCAAGCAGCCTACATACAGCTAGAGGGAGTTTAGGAGATTTACAGCTGAAGCAGAGGACAAGAGAGACGACCATTTTCTAACCAGCTGTGAATCATCAATTAGAGCTGAGTCCTCTTGCTTGTACTGCTTGAAGGACTTGGGTGCGATGAAGCCCATCATGAGACTTCGGATAAGGTCTGTGAGTTTCCTTCATTTGGTCCTGCAGGAAAACGAAGGTTGCAAAGGCCATGCAACCAGTCTTTCTTTCTCATTAAATAACAGCCTTTACTTAGTTTAGTTATAGTACTTACTATTGGATACTTTTCAGTACTGTTGTATTGATATTGTACTGGGTCTGATTTAAATATGATTTTTACTAGGGCTGTCGCAATAGACTGCTATCGACATTAACCGTCTTTTGTAAGTTATGCAATATTATTTAAACGGTAGTATAAGAGCCATATTGATATTGTTTACAGCCATTGAGTAATATTCCTTTAAAAATGTTGAACTGCTCCTTTAATCATGCTGCTGATGACATCATAGCCATTTAGCTCTCAGACCAGGTTAAGTGACCTAAGAAGCAAGACAGTTTTTTGACTATATGCCTAGTTGAGTCAAGAGTGGATCTTGTAACTTTGTTTTTTATGATCATTACTTTATCATTTCTCTGAAGTAATAATCACCATATTAATCATTTTGCACTGCAGACGCAGTAGTTATTCTGCCTTAGCCTCTCTGTCTGATTGCATATCCATGAAGTAATGATCACAAATGTTCTTCCTTGAGCTGCGCCACCCCGCTGCAGTTGGTGATGGACTCACCAGAGTTCTCCCTACAAACAAGCGGCGGATGGAAGAGAGTAGGTGAGTTGTGTTTAGTCTCTTTGCTAAAAAAATTAGGCAAAGTTAAAAAGATGTTTGGTGGCTAGTACTTTGGCTGGGACCCTATATGTACTGTTGATGAAGTTAGGTGCTGTTCTGAGCATTATTTGTGGCTATAGAGTGGCTTTTTGGTTGATGTTTGTGCTTGGCTCCTTAGACCGCTGTGTATTGCTATTGTGTGGTCATTACGAAAGTTGGTATAACTAGAGAAGCAAGTGGTTGGCAACATTAATCTCTTAAGGGGGTGTCTAACTCTGTGTTATGTGTGTTTGACCCCAAATTAATTTTACGCCGGAACATCCCTTTAAGTAAAGTTCTGAACAGAGTTACTGCCTCAGAATAGTGGTGGTATCATGCTTAATAGTAGTGGTATCATGGAGCATTGGGTGGACGACAGATTGCAGCTACAGGTAGCACTGTGAGTTCATAGCAGAGGTCCTTAACACTGGTTGCCACATGTCATCAAAGGTAGAAGAGATGAAGAAGCAGAAGCAGACTGCCTGTGAACTGGCCTGGAGCAGCTCTTTACTCCACACTTGTAGAAAAGTGAAATTCCAAATGCAGTGTTGGAGCCTATGCCACTGCGGGGTTACACATTAATTGAACATGTTTGCTCTCTTACCATTCTTTGAAGTGTTTTCATTCAGTTCAGCAACAGATCTACCAGAAGTAGCTCATACTTCAAAATAATGTTTTGGTTATATCATGCAGTGCTCTCATGTTGCCCATCTGTTTGTTTAGACTTTGACTTGGATGAGCCCAAAGACTGGAAAAAAAGCTGGATCTAAGGCTCACTTATTTAATCATTAGTTCCTTTTGTCAGCAATAGAGAGTAAAAGTCACCATTGTACATGTTTTATATATTGTACAAAATGTATGTGAAAGATTTATATATTTTTTGTCCCAGGTAAGTTAAACAGCTGGACATTAGGCCCCTAGCTCTGAACCTAGCCAAGCAAAAAAGTTGCAAGTTGTAGAGTTGAATTTGCTTCACATTGATATAAAAAGTGGTATCAATCTTTTCTTTTAACTTTCTGCCAGTGGGTTTTCTTGAAATGCTCAGAGGCAAAGCTAATCCCTGATTGGCAGTTCAGTCTTGGCTCTCGTAGCCCACATGTTTTAAGTGTCCTTGAGCAGAAAACTGAAGCCCAAATTGCTCCCAAAGGCACAGCCATCAATGCATGAATGTGTGTTACTGGGATTTGATAAGCTCTGAAGGGATGTTTGGCAGTGTGCATATCACCCTCCGCCATCAGAGTGTAAATGTGCTTGGAGTGGCATGCATGGTAACAGGGCCTGGAGTAGTCAGAGTGCAAGAAAAGCACTATCAAGGTGCAGTCCAGTCACAATTTTCTATTTAATTATATCTTTCACTCACTGATGTGATTGTATTTTCTACGATCTAGATTCCTGACCAGCTAAATCGTTTATATGATTATATATTAAGTCCGTTCTCTAAAATACATTGATGTTTGGGACGGTCCTTTGAGATATCTTAGACTTTTATTTTGCTAAATCAATCAGGAAAAAATCACAGCCACATGGATACGTCCTTTGAGATATCTTACACTTTTATTTTGCTAAATCAATCAGGAAAAATCACAGCCACATGGATACGCTGTTATTTATTTTTTTTTAACATTGCATAGAAATTGCATGAATTAAACATTCCCTGACTCTGTTCTTTATACATTTTTTGCCAATTTACTGCACACTGCTCTGTGAGGCCCAGTTCCTGTCATATTGAGAGTGACTACTCTATAAAGCCAGGGAATGAAGTATCCTGTCATGCTAATTGCACTGCTGCACTTTTACGCTACTTCACCGTGATGACAACTCCTCCCGCTGTGTTTCAGTCGAAGAATGTCAGCGGCCCAAATACAAGTTGTTAGAAGATGTTGTTGGGGGGAGAAAAAAAAAAGCAATGTGCCTTTTGGTCCACTGCTTACTTGATGGATCATGGGACATTGAGAGCAAGACAAGCATCACAACAGACAAGTATATTTGCGTCAGTTATGCAAAACAAGAAACCAAGGACCATGGGGAGATGGGCTTTCTTGCATTTGGAAAAACAAAGTGTCGTCTAATTAGGTCAGTTCTAAATATCTATTATACAGTTAGTCATCGAATGCCAAAGTGGCGATTGGTTGCTTCTGTCTCTAAGAGATGTTTTCCTCAATCGTTTGCTGGTGGGGCCTGAGTAGATGAGGATCAATGCAGGTTTCTTTTTAATTAGGACACATTAATGCACATGCTTCACAGGTGACCTGGATCCTCACAGCTTTGAAGTTGTCAGTGATCTTTGCTAGTCATCACTTTACAGGACCTCCTCATTTAAAAAAAAAAAAAGAAGGGGGAAAAAAAAAAAAAAACCTTCACTTTATCCTGCATCCTGGGAATTTAAAGAGGTCTTTTACCGTCTCTGCTTACGGTATGCAAAGCATCACTTAAGGGCCTGCAGGAACCAAAATGCTGACATCAGGCAAACTATTTTGAATTTCTTAATCTGCTTTATAAACATACCCGCGTATACGTTACAGTAAATCAGAATTACCACATGCCTCCAGCTTGTTGCTTTTTCTGTCGTTCTCAGTGTCACATGTCAACTGAATAAAATGAAGTCATGCAATTACAGATAAGGTTATATCAGTAAACCCTGAAATCAAGGCACACTGTTGGAGGACTTGCAGGGGAAATACTTTCATCTTCCTACTCAATCAAATCATCGGTCCTTGAACACAACTTTTGTCACATTTGAACATCATTTCTGTCAGTCAAAGTGTGGTGTGAAGTCGAGCATAGACAGGGAATCACCTCATTTCCACTAATGATAGGGATTTTCTGGCACTACACCATCCGAGCTGGTTTTATTCCCCCTAAAAGCCTGTTTCAAACTGAGCCCCTGACTTTCCTAATGAAGTGACTTCTATTCAGGTTGAGTCTGCTGCAAATGCCACCTTTTCTGCCATCTAATGTCACATTAACATGTTCAAGCGT